TTTTTTTTTTGACCGTTTACATTTCTTTTTTTTTTCGCTGCTTTTCGCGTTTTATGCTTCACCATTGTCCTAATGTAGGCCTTACCTATCACTATTTGTGGAATACCGGATACCCCTGAATTATCGTGAACGGTGCCTTTAATTAAAGGCACAGTTTACGGTAATTTTGAAGTACCCTCTTTAGGTAGTAGAGTGGAAGAATTCATGTAGAGGAGAACATCGGTGGCGAACAAAGCGAGAGCATCCGCCTACTTCAAGGCTTTTTGCGTAGGGGAGGTGGAGGTTGTACGAGATCACCGTGACGGTAATGGCATGTAAGAGGTGTTTGGACGAGATTTAACTTGCTCCCATTGCTCAAAGAGATGACTACATCGAGCCGAAGTTGACCATAACTATCTCTACCTGTCGCCATGGATTATGACAAGTTGTTTGAACTCCTTACATGGGAGCCTCTTGACATAGTGCAGCCTCTACAAAGCCAATTAAGCTCGTCCGCGATGGGTGTGGCATTCACACGATACAAGCTCTGGCCCCTTATTGTGCCCTATCTTTTCGACTTCATACGGCAGGTATGGTATAAGTGGGAGCCTGGATTAGACACTATGAGGAAATCTCAGCAAGCATTTTTATCGTAAACTGTGCCTTTAAGCCACTTTTGAATCTAGACCGGTCTCGGGTGTAGATTCCAAAGTCTACCTTCTGCTTCTGAAGAATGGGATTTCTCTATGTACGTGAGAGTTTGGCGTTCCAAAAAATACATGTCATTTTTTCAGTTTTGTTTGTAATGATGTGGGCTCTATCCGTCTGGGTGCAATGTTTGTATGAGCCTGTCAAAGTAGTTTACAGAGAAAATGAGAGAAAGCAAGTAGGCAAGCATGGAAATGACTGTTCAAGCCAGTTGGGAGATGGACTCATATATGAGCCTCGGTCATACTAATGGAAATCATTGAGAGTTAGTCTTTGAAGGAGCACTTTACGATAATTCTTGAGTATCCAGTTTTCGACGGATAATGAAAGTGATCGTCCAGATTAAAACAAAAAAAAAGAGGTGAAAGGAGTGCGAGAATCGACGTGTAAAACACATTGGTTCAAAAAAGTAGTAAAACGGAGGGTCGGACGCGTTTCTGACAGAAAAATAGCGATAAAGGGGTGGTTGGCTGCTTTCATAGTCCGCGATTTGGCCGCGAGTGAGCGAGCGACAGGAGACTACTCGTCGGTGGTATCGACCAGTATTCAGTTGTAAACAAGGGGCAAGCGTCGCCCCCGTCGCTCGCTCGCGTGCTCGCGAACTACTATGAAAACAGCCATTGTTCGAGCTGGAGGGACGGAATATAGGCTGTTTTCATAGATTACCGGCGCACTGACGTAAAATAAATTAGTTCGTATGTAAGAAATCTCGTCTGTTGCATTTTATTTCACGGTTCCGACATGTTCTGACCGTGAAATAAAGTGCAACAGACGTAGATTTTATACATACGAACTAATTCGTTTTACGCCAGTGCACTGGCTCGCCGGCCAGCCGGCCGCGGACTATGAAAGCAGCCATACATGCGTTCGCGGAAACTTGCGCCGCGAATTTTGTCGATCAGCTGACCTAATTCGAAGTAGAGTAGACGAGTAGAATCGGCTGACCTTACTAAACTACACTAATTCACGTTCGTGCCCAAATAATAGGCGTCAGGGTCGTTCCAATCGCCACGAACTTCGACGCGAATTTTTCCCGCGCATGCTCGGACGCACGTATGTACCCGAGCATGCAAGGTACATTTGTGCGTCTGGGGATGCGCGTAACTTGGAGTTCGAATTGACTTCGCGCGCGAGGTCATTCGATTACTACTTCGGTGCTGATGCGGTTATGTACGTCCTCGAAGGGAATCTTTTTCATCTCACCGCCTTACTGCCTAGTTTTCTAATTTCTCTATTTTCTACATGAAAGAAACTCGACACGCCTTNTGACTTCGCGCGCGAGGTCATTCGATTACTACTTCGGTGCTGATGCGGTTATGTACGTCCTCGAAGGGAATCTTTTTCGTCTCACCGCCTTACTGCCTAGTTTTCTAATTTCTCTATTTTCTACATGAAAGAAACTCGACACGCCTTATTCTTCTTCCACTGTGCTACTTCTACAAACAGATCTCATTCGTTTCTTGATGCCGCTTTCTACGTACCGCGCGCGAGAAAATAAGTCAAACTAAAGCATCGCATTGCATAACATTCGAGATGACCATCTGACGCGCCGCTCACTACTTGTGTGACAAACGGCGATAGAGTCGAACGGGAGACAGTACTTTCGTTCGATCCGAACTGCGCGCGGTTCTTGGCCATTTGAACGACTCTGACGCCTATAATTGGGGCATAAACTTGAAGCGGAGTAGATTAGTATGGTCAGATGATCATTCTGCTCTACTCTACTTCAAATTTGGGCCCCAATAGTAGGCGCTAGAATTGTCTTCACATCGCTATGGATTTCGCCGCGCATTTTGCAGCACGCATTTCGAATCGCACGGATGTAGACACACTGGATCGAGGCGTCACTAGAGAGACAAATTTTGGCTAGGAATGACCCGTAACCGTTACCCCGTGCACTACGGAAAGCTCGCGTGTTTTTGACACTGCCTTAACACTCTATACTGCGCGTGATCGTTTCTTTGGCATTGCTAATATGACCGCAAATCGGCCAAGAAAACAAACGATCAAGCTTTTGCTTAACTGTTAAACTTAGTTCATGTATTAAGTGGAAATTTTATGTTTCAGGCATCGGACTAGCTCGTGACTGCCTTTATTGACCTTGTAGCTGATCTCGTGGAACGGTCGAATGCTATGGAACCGAACGAAGAAGGCGAAGCGAATGGCAATCGTACGAAAAAGATCGTCTTCGGAGAATCGTTCTGTGCCTTTCTTCTTGCTTTACTCTGTCTATATGTGCAAAAAGAATCGAGAATGAAATGTTAACCACTTCTTCAAACGATTAGTCAATAACCATTTATTTACTGATCCATAGGTCCATATGTTTCAATGTGGCAGGTCAAGCCGCAGTTTACGCTAAACCTGACACACATGCATAAAAACACTTGTTCAGGAACACTCTCTTTCATTGTAGCTGAGTCACCGTAGAAACCATTGCATGATGGTTACGGAATGACTGAGCGGAAAGATACTTGGTGTAATTCCTGACGCCAGACTCGGCTTCCCTTATTATCCCGCCTTGGTGTCAACTCAGCCATTTTGCCGGCTTCCGTTTTCTTGCCAATTTTCAGCTTGTCCAGCAGTCTTTGGCAATTCCAGTTCTTTCAACAACTTTTAGCTTTTTTCAACTATTTTTAACTTTCATTCAGTTTCTTGCTTCTGGTTCAGACTCAGCATCCGCATTCATCCGGCATCATCATCCGTCCGACTGACTCTATAGACCACAGCTTTACGCGAAACCATTTACCTGTCAGAGCTCCAGGCTTTTCCTTCTGTCGGTTGCTGGTCCCGATTGCGGGTTCACGCGATCAGTTGTACGGCCTTCGCGGTTCGCTCAACCCATCTTCATTTCCCTTCTTGTAGCGCTACTACTGTATGTATTGTAGTTCGTACTGTTGCCCTTCCAAGAAAACCCATCTTCTTAGGAGAAAACAGATAAAGTGTGCAGTGGTATCGATGCGGAAGATATCCAGCGAGCTGATCATGAAATAGCAGACCTTTCGGAACACGCTAGCTACTCAAAAATGGCCAGTAGAGGTTACCGGGCAAGGAATTTGACAGATGAGTATTGTAGAGAATCGGGTAAAAACAGCCTGATGTTGCCTCGCCCTCTCCTTCAAAAAAAAACCAGGTACTGGTCAGCTAAACAGGGTACAGCCGATCCGATCAGGACATTAAAGACTGCCTGATTGTTAGACAAAAGGCTTCAGTGTTGCAGCCAATTTTGGCTTCTTCGCCAATTTTCGACATTATACCAGTTTTCAGCTGCTTAAAATTAGTCTGAATTTTCGAAGTTACGGCTTGATCATTTTTTCACACTGCTAGTTTGAATTGCTTTATTTTACACCAAGTTTCGATTTTCAGCTTTTCAACGACTTTCAGTTTCACGAACTTCGAGCTTTTTGTTACAACTTGATTGAATTTGACATCAATCAAAATTCAAACTTTTGTGCAGATTTTCAGCTTTTTCCACCAAATTTCGGCTTCTCTATCGGTTTTCAGCTCTTCCATCGACGTTCAGCTTTTCTCAGCTTTTTCCTAATTTCTACAATTTCTGTCAGTTCAAGGCTCCTTCATCGATTTCCAGTTTTTCCTCTCTTTAGGCGTTTCCGCCAAGCTTCAGCTTTCTTACACATCTTTAGGCCTTTCGAACAAGCCTCAATTTACGAATTTTCAATTTATTGCTCGGTTATCAGTTTTGTCAACAGCAGAGACCGCTTCTGGCGCTAAAAATGAGGCGAAGCTAGTAACGCTGAAAATAGAAAAATCGTGAACTGGAAAATTCCAGCAGAGAAAATGGGCCTCGACTGCGACATAGTCTCAACACGATCGTGGCAGAATATGGATTGTGGACTCGGCCGTCGATCCGAGCCCTTCAATTGCAATGGGTCAAGACCAGTACCGTATCCGTTACGGTTCTTACGAGTAGAACTCATTGAGTGAGAGAGGATAGGCAGTAAGAGATTGCCTCAGGGAAACAGGAGAGCGGGTGGGTGTCGAGCACTCCACCGGCACCCGCTGATTCTCTTCACCTCTCTCTCAATGAATATTACGGGGTACTTGAGCAGTGCGGTGTACGATGCTATGATTCCTATCAAGGTCGGTGGCCGTTGGGTCGGACGGCTCTCGAGGAAATCGGCTGGTTACAGCAACACGCAGCTGAAACCACTGAGGTGAAGCGGGAGCTGGATAGTCTTGCCTTCGCTTTTGCCTTTGGGATGATCCGAAGAGACTATCGACGCATATTTTTTCTCGTCAGCAAAGCTGAAATGTTCTGGCAGCGCAGTCATGTAGTCAAGTTTTTGAGAGCTGGATTGTTTGGGCCACAAATGGCAGTTCTGTTGGAAGTTTTTCTGAAAAGAGTATAGAAATTGCTGCTCAGTTCGGAACTGAGACCTGCCTTGTCAAACATGCGGCCGCACCAATGTCCGCTACGCCATCAACACTTAAAAGGGCCGGAGAACACTCCGACACAATCTAAAAATGGTCACTAGAGATTTCGGCTAGCGACGGTGATTTAGCCAAAATAAGCTCACCGGCAGTCTCGAAAACATGTTCCCCTCGATACATAAAGTTGTCGTCCGAGGAGAAATCGTTACGGTGAGCACAGCTTATTTCCCGTGGCACGAGGACTGAGGATTCGCCCGTTTGACAGGCTCGGGAGCCTATCTACGTCCGGTTTCAACCAGTCCTTCCCGCTGATGAGTTGTTTCGGTGCGGGTATAGAATGCAAATCTGTGATGAAGAGGCGCCAGACTGATAAAAGTAAAAAAAAATGTGGACAAAAACTGTCTAGTGTTAGTTTCGAACCCATGTTCTTGCACATTAGTAAAGGAGATCCGGTATGCCCACTGAACCACATTAGACACATCGACAGGCATATACGAGCACGTCACTTCACCGCCGTTCTGAATGCTCCTCATAAATCCGATCATAGAGGAAGCGTTCGATTGTAACAGCAGTTTCAACCAGCCATTTAGCAAAAAGTTCAAAATCTACCAATATAAGGTATAAGGTTCAGACAAATGGTGAGATGGATGATCGTACCGTTGAAACCTTGACAAATACTCCATATCTGTTGGCTACCCAAGAGAAGAGGCTCATCTATTTAAAAATGTTGACTGATCTAACTGATCGGTCCGCTATCGACTCACCACTAAACCTCATTTCACTGGTGATTTGTGGCTGATTTGTGCAACCCTCTAGACAGCAACCTCTCTCGCTACAAGATAGGGACGACGATAGTCAACGGTCCACCAACTTGTGTAGTTAGACTTTAGCAGCGGTCAGCCAGTTATTTTCAGCCCCCCACAAATAAAAAGAGGATACTCAAGAGGTCTATCCAGTGCACACAACCACAACTGAATCATACATAATACTGGTTATTATTTGTACAAGTTAAGAAGGGATTCATGTATATCCTGCCATTGTTGTTAAAAATTGAAATTGAATGGAGGCTCGGTGCCGCTCACTCTTTTCTGAAAAATGTAGTGAATAACTAGTAAGCGAAATCGGTAATATCGACAATAGACTTAATTCGAATGATAAAGGTGTCGATTGAGAGTAGGTAGAAGAGTAAAATTCTAAAATGAAATGATTTGTTCGGGTAGCGATGGGTTGTGCCACAGGCCGTTTGGACCGCCTGGACTTTCCATTCCTGTGGTTTCCTTGAACTCTATCGAGATGGTGCCTACCAAATTGTATGCGTATAACGTGAACAACTCCCTCTTATTTTCTTATTCAACCATATAAGGACCGAAGTGTCCACGATATCCGTGTTCAAATAGAGAAGTAGGCAAGTTCGATGTTGAGGTGAACTTCAAAAACCGATGAAGGTTCTATTACTGAAACTTGTACGGAGAGGAATCAGCATCAGAAAATTGTGCCAAGGCTCCCCAGCATGCATCGGTGTCCATGAAAGAAGGCAAACACGTCGCCATGAAATACGCTGTTGAGGCGTAGGGCTTTCTCCCACGTTTACTCAGGCTCTAACAAACTGGATGAATAGATTCATATCTCTTCTATTAACAATGAGAACGTCAAAAATAACAAAATAATTGCTACAGTGAATACGTAAGTATTAAGGTTTAACTCAGCTTAAAGCTGATATTTTGCAGGTGTTAAAGAAATGCATCATCTAATAAAGCATTACAGCACCGAATGAGTAGATCAGAACAGAATTGTCATGGAACAACAATCTGATAAAACACAATGTCACCCACACACAACTGTGCCGTCCACCCCGCCAATAAACGAGCTGGACGTGAGCGTGGAAGATTTTGAGCGACTGAATCGAAGATGAATAGAGGATAAGTTCTCAGAACTAGGTTAGATGGTAGACCCGAAATAATGATGATGAAAATGAAAGATGAAAACACATTGAACCTGTATATATGTACATATGGCAAAGTGATATTATAGTTATCAAGTAGCTACGTAGAAAAATCTCAATCCGATTTAACAAATCGCCAAATGTGAACCGATGAGAATCGAGCTCGTAAAGATTCGTCCATTTCGATCGTATAACCCGCAACGGCACCCTTTGACAGAAGTTCCCTGAAAATAACAACAACATAAAGCTGTAGCCTCTCAGTAGGCGGAGGCGCTGCCAATGTCACAAGACGCCCTACCACATGCATGATCCGGGTCGGGGAGCGGGTAAATGGAGACGAAAGCGGTGGTCTATCCCAAACGACAGTAGTAAACGCAAAAGACTTAAGACACATATTTTCATAGGCATTTATGCTCCACGGGACCCCGTATTTGACTGTGTCATTCATAAGAGGGGACAATAGCGCAGTTTGCATTAGCGTACCAAAAAATTCCTCCCACTCCCATCAACTGCTTTATGCTACGTCGAAAAAAAAAAACTCTCGCAACCCACTCTTCAGAGGATAAAATGTATGACGACTCACTCTAGAAAGACTAATGCAGAATAAAAAAAAATACAACCAATGTCAGGATAGGAATAGATTATGTTTCCGCTTTCAAAAAATTGGAATTAAACTGTTGCCCACTTAAGACATCTATTCTCACCGTTTCTCTCTTTCCGTCCACTGCTGCTTGCTTTCTCCCCGTTCCATCCTTCTACGCTCCGCCCTCCAAACGGCCGGTCCTTCTTTTCGTCGAAAATCTTCCACTAGCTCTTTGTTGACGGTTTTCTGCAAGCAGACGGTACTGTTTTGATACTTCTCACTTGGATCGCGCACAATAGAAACGCCACCGAAAACTAAGCATCTAGCCTCAGGTCGGGAACCTTCAGGCCAGAGGAGCTTTTATTTTCTAAATAGAAAAATGGCAGGAAGTTCGCCCCCAATACTGGTTTTAATTCTTTCAAAGCAGCATTAGTACCGGTACACATGTGAACACCTTCATACTTCTAACCGAAAATAAGCGCCAATGAATTTTGCGAATTACCTGATTTCGACGACTTACTTCATCAATTCCAACTAACGTTACTTCAAGAAGAATAGAATCCAGAAAAAATATAGGTAAATACCTTGAAAGTGNTTTCAGAATCTTTTCAAAGATAAAATCAATTTGTTACTTACCGCATCAGACGCAAAATGCACGAAGATTTTCGTTTTTCCGTTTCGGAATTCGGCAGTATTACGGAAGACAACGAGCGTGAAATGAGGAAACGAGGCTGACGTCAGGGAATCTGATATGGCATCCGGACGAACAAGATGTCGTTCCCAAGATGTGCCGAATACGCGCCAACCGGTCTGAAAAACCACTATCACGAAACTTGTACTAGAATTGAATGTTTCGAGAAATTGATATTTTGTGTGTTCAGTGAACGGTTTCAGGCTCACCTCGTGAGCTGGTTCAATGACTGATTTGATGAGAGCAGATTCATTGGCGGTAAGGGCAGGAAGAGATTGAACGTTGGTCTGGAATAATTCATATGCCTTCTAGATGCAGAAGTTCTGAATGTGTCTTCGATTGGTCAACCCACCCTTTGGCCATTTTGCGTGAGCACTAGTAGTTCATGAAATCCTGAATCTTCTACCGTGAAGGAGACATCTTCTAAGGGATACATTGCAGTGAACGTGGCATCGAGCAGGTCCGACGATGCCAGACTAGACACTTGGGAAAAGGTGCGTAGACGTGAAGGGAATGAGGCGATAGAGCGAGCACAAACATGCTGCCTGCAGTTTAGGTGAAGGTCAGCAGGTGGCAGAAGTGAAGGCGATAGACCAGCTAGTCGGAACCACGTTGCTAAATCTGCAATCAGCAAACTAGAGATTAACCAAAATCTGAAAAACTTTTCCCGAGCGGCCACACCGATATCAACAGTACATGAGTGGCCGCGCGACGTGTGAGCACATAAGCAGTTTTGCAACTCACTCGTAAATCATAAATGCATCTCGAAGCATTGAGGGTAGAAGGAAATTTTCGGTGCAAATTTAAGAAACAAATCAGAAATTAAATATGTACCTGTCGGGATCAATGGAGCCGTCTCTAATGCTCCTAGCGCGAATGGGTCCACAGATGGAGCAATGTCTTTAAACCGAACTCGCCCTATAAAGTCCGGACCAAATGACATATAGCGGCCGATCAAGGTGTCATACGGTCGTGCACTTGGCATTATTACCACAGATAACTGAGGAATCTCCACACCTGGAAACCAATACTGCTAGGAAGTCCGTTGATTAACACCTGTGAAATGTGTGAATAAAACACTACTCACCACCTCGAAAACCCAATGGAGTCCAGAATGCCGTCTTGGTGTCTGAAATCACTCTACCGAGTGGATCGCGATGGATCTCCTTTTCAATTCCGGATTCGCTCAGAATATACCTAAATAATTAGTTAGTTCTCTTGATTCCATTAAATTGAATCTGGCTCTGTTCGTATAACTATGCCGTTTGAACTTGCTCCGAAAAATTCCTCCTACTGCGGATAACTCCACTCTTCTACGAACTTGAGAAACTTAGGAATCGGAACACGAACTAATCGAATCCCACGTTCCACTTCCACCACTGACATTTTGGCAGTTTATCCATGATAAATTTAAATTGTGAACGCAGAATTTTGGTTGAAATAGTCATCAAAACCAACGAAAAAGAATTATTATTCGGCAGTAAAAGCTCGAAGGTCAGGCCTAGCACTCGTCTTTCCCACGAACCGAAGAGCTTTGTCTCCGTAACGGTTCTCAAGGTTTATAGTTTATTTGCTACCTTGCTACCAACCACTGTGACGTCTCTCAAAGGCACTCACCTTAGACTACCATCGTTATCAACAGCGATGGCATATCTGTATCCATCGCAGTTCATTGCAAACGGTATCCCTTCTTCCGTGTAGAGGATTGACGTCGGCGACGAATCCGAAGACGATTGGAAGTGTGACACACGACGAGGTAAGTGCGGCAAGGTGTAGAATAGAGAGTAGAGCGTCTAAAACACAAATTCTTGTAAAAAGCTTCTTTTGAACTCGTACCTAAGTTACAAGCCCACTTTCAGCAACATTGTAAAACGGAGAGAGACCTAGGGCTGCAAACGTTCAGCTGCGCAATGCGATGCCAATGGGATCTAAACTGATCCGAGTGTATTAGGGTAGATTACCCACTAGCATCACATCGCGCAGCTGTACGTTGACATCCCTAGGTCTCTCTCCGTTCTTTACCATATCCTATTTAGTAATATGAAACTTTCGTGAGTAATTAAGATATGAAATCAGTCAGCTACCTAAAACCAAACAAATCTTTGCTGAAGTACTTAAGGGCGATCACCTGTGGCGATCTTCGTGAAAGGACCTCATCGTCGTAACAAGTATGAGTGTATCGACATAACTA